GAGATACTGGATACCACCTTCCCGAAGACTGTCTACCTCAGCCTACTGAAGAAAGTCTTCCTGGAAAGACTGTGGGCACTGGGAGGTTGCGCCCAGATTCCTTTTTGGATTTCTGGCTTGATGTTTTCCATCAGGAGACTCCATCCACACACCCCTGGGCAGCACTCGGTCACATAGGCTACCAAGGCTGGAGACCTATGGCCAGTTTTGGGGATGGAAGCTTCCTGGTTTGGTCCTGACAATCTGTACTGTAGCTTTTCTCCACATAGAAGATAAAAATTGTACAATGATATTTGTGGTACCACCCTAACAAACCCTTCTACACCAGGATTCTCAAGCATAGCCCTAACCTTGATTCTTGAGTTCATCTCTACACAGCGTCACAAAGGCTCGCCTCCACATGGCTCTCTTTGGGTCATAGAGGTGTCAACTGAAATCCATCTGCTCCACACATGTGATGACCTTGTGGCCCTGAAGCCTCTGTAGGGCTGTTGGTTGTTGTTTTTCTCAGAACCAAAGCCACAGCCTGTACGTCAGCCTTGTCATGAAGGTTGCTGTGGTTGCCACGCTTCATAACTCTTTATCAACAGCCTCCTCACAGGCGGCTTCTCAGCAGAAGCGTCTGTTTCTAGCTGTGGTAACAAACAGGACACACGCTTGCCCACACTGAAAGCAAGGGCTCAGGCCCGCTCTGTGGGCCAGTAGATTCTATTCCTTCATCTTGAGGATTAAAGTTCTAACTTAGCAGAGACCAGGTCACAGTGCCCAGCTGGAAGGATGGCCAGTCTTCTAAATCTCTAGCTGTAGCTGTACTGTCTATGCTGGGCTATGCTGTGTGTACCCTTGCTGAATTTATTCTGCATGACATACAAGGCCTCAAAAGAAATTTGGGTGCCAGAGAGACAGTTGAGCAGTTAAGAGGATACGCTGCTCTTGTAGAGGACCCTGAGATTGGTTCTTTGTAACTGGCCAGGTGGTTCACAACCTCCTATAATTCCAGCTTCAGGGCTCAGATGGTTTTTCTCACCTTCACTCACACCCACACCTCTCTCTCTCTCTCTCTCTCTCTCTCTCTCTCTCTCTCTCTCTCACACACACACACACACACACACACACACACACACACAAAGCATGCATGGACATGCGTACACACATACACAGAAAGAGAGAAGGAGACAGAGAGACAGACAGAAACAGACATATAGAGATGGACAGAACAGTTAGAATTGGGGGGTCAAGGAAAGAAGAAGAAGTGTTTTTGCCATTGTAAGATCCAAACACAACTTGAGGACCCAATGGTGTCAATAACCAGAACAAAAGGAACTATGTGAAATGTGTCTACTCTTTGGAGGTAAATAAGCACTTTCTCAGAATATATCTACTCTAGGAGCTTAAAAAGCAATGTGGCCAGATTTGCCAGCAGGGGAAAGGTTGCAGCATCTTTAAGGACATATTACACAGATGCTAGGGGAACAGAAAGCCCAGTGCAGGCAACATTCAAAAGGGGCTGAGGACAGCTCATGAGATTTTAAGAGGAGACAAGATCTCATTGACACATGGTGACCTGCATTACATTCTGGGAAAGTATCTGGCTATGTTCAGAAGGAACAGAATAATTTATTTGGTGGAGGAAATTTTGAGTCAGTGTCACTCTGAGGTTGTGACATGGTTACGACTCACTTCTCATAAAATGCCCTTTGGCAAGGATGGGAAGCACATTCAGCGTCACAGACAAGTGCCTGCAGAGAGAGAAGAAGGATACAGTCCTTAAAAAAATTATTCCATTTGTGTGTGTGAGCGTGTGTGGGAAGGGAGTGGGGTGTGTGTATGTGGTGTGTATGTATGTGTGCATGGTGTGCTGTGTGTGTGGTGTGTGATGTGAATGAATGTGTGGTCTGTGGTGTGTGTCTGTGTGGTGTGTGTGTATGGTATGTGTGAGTGTGTATGTGTATGTTTTGTTTATGTTGAATACGTCCATGTATAATTGTTTGCATGTGTGCCTATGTCCATATCATGGTGCACATATGGAGGACAGCTTTTGGGTCCTTTATTATTTTTCCCCCTTTATCATATGGGTCCAGGTGATCAAATTGAGCCCCTGGATTTTCAGTGGACCTGGACTTTATAACCCACCGAAGAGCTCACACATAGTGCCTTTTCCTGCTGAGCTGTTTGTGTGGTAGCTTTCTTTATTGTTAGGGAATTTCATAATACTTGTAATATATAAAATGCATCCCTATTGCCTCTCCTCCATTCCTTCTTCTATCCCAACCACATTTCTTTCCTTACATCACGTGCTACTGGGCACATGCGCACCTCTCTCTCTCTGTCCTTCACTGTGGAAGTGGCTAGCCTCCTCAAGTTCCTGCTCTCACTTGTGACGGTGAGAGACTGTAACCTTGAACTGCAGGCTGAGTAAAATTTCTGTGGTCAGGGTACTTCTATCACTGCAACAGAAATGAAACCAAGATTCTTGCTATGATGGACTGTACACTAGAACTATGAGACAAAACAAACGTTTCCTCTTATCAGAGCAAGGGAACTGTCCAAGGCCTAAATGTTCCCTAAATTCACGATCTCTAAGTTCTTCCTCTCACGCTTTGCAGGGAGAGATGTTTGGTCACATACTAAGCAGAGGTTTGCGGAGGATTAAATAGCTTTTCTCACGGTTAGGACAACTTCCCCTTTGTAGCCTAGGTTCCACTGTCCTAACTCCCAGTTCCGTGTCCTAAGCCTAGCTTTGTAGCAGCTGCCCAGTATACTTGGCCAAAGTCCAGGCTCCATGCATCTGTCTGTGCAGGAGCTATTTGTGCCTCCAATATCCATCTCCCTATGGCTTCCCCAGAAGCAATATCACTCACAGGAATCTGCTGCTCCTTAGTCTTAGGTAAATCAAGTCTTTCCCAACACCAGAAGCTGCAATGGTACTGGCCAGTTTGGATTCTGCCCGCCCACTATAGCTGTGCTGACAGGATCTTCTCTTGACCAGTCCAGCCCAGTTGAGTCCCCTCATATAGCCACCAGTAGAAGTTATATAGACTTGAACGGTCTCTAATAGTCAAGGATAAACCTTAAGACGTCTAAATTCCATCTGAGAACTCATTGCCCAGCTAGCACCCACTTTGGGTGTTTACTTAGGAGGCCTTCGATTGCATACCTTAGCGCTCTGTCGATGCTAACACTCCTACACTCCAGAAGCATTTTTTTTGGCCCCTCTATAGTGCTATCTCAGGCCTGTGTCTTGTCTTCTGATATCCATAGGAAGACAGAATCCAAGCCTGGTAGGACATGGACATTCCTAGCAGAGCAGGAGACACTGGGCAGTCACTGTATGATCTTTCTCTTCCCTGACTCTGGAGTATTTCTTCTTTTTCTTATTCCTTCAATTTTTTTCCATAGCAATGTTATCACTCAGCCTGAGGTCACTGTGAGAAATATTCTTCTTAGTTCATGTGGCTAGTGTGGGAAGCTATGCCTGGGCAGCCTGGGGGAAGAAACAGCTGGGAAGTAACTACCCATAGGGTGGAAGTCTGTGGACCTATGGGGTATAGGATATCAGAGCTGGATCCCAGCAGTGAAGGGATGCTTAGAGAAGATCTGGTAGGACACAGGACCAGGAGAGGTAGTGTGTTCTGCATGGCTAGCCGGTCAACTTAACTGTGCCATGTTTCTAAGTAACAGGGCTGGTTTACATAAGAGGAACACAGAGATTGTGGAATATTTTTTTAAAAAAAGTTTTATTGACAAAATACAAAACAAACAAACAAAACCAACGAAGCAGACAGAGACCTTAAAGACATCAGTGATCTACAGGAAGTTAGAAGCCAAATCCCTGAGGCCTTTGAGAACTTCCTGCCAGCTACAGGAGGGCAGGAGCCCATTTTTCCTTCCTGCCTTCATTTTTATTCCTGTCTGGAGACTCCAATTTTCCATGATTGAGAAGTGATGGAGAAATAGGTATTGGGTTTCTGTAGTAGGCTCACTCCACTCTCCAGTAGCCTGGTACTCCTTGGACTGCAGCTACAGCTGTCACTAGCTACTGTAAGAGTCTTGGACAGATGTCAGGTGTGCAGGAGGAGCCTGCTGAATCCTGGCTCTTCCAAGTTCCCTTCACCTCTACTGTTCTTCACCTTCCTTCTTTGGCCTGATTGGAACCTGCTCCTCAGGTCCCTCTCCAGGAGATCCTTGGTGGTCACCCAAACCGTGATCAATGACCTCTGAACCTGCAGGGCTACACAGAGGCCATGAAGCCCAGGCCATTCTCTATTGTGCTCTCAGAGTAGCATTGAGAATTCCAGAGAGATAGTGGTGTCTAGGTCTCAGGATTGTGGGGTCAGGGTTCTCTGTAAACTTGTACCTTCATGTGAGAATCCAGTGTATTGTACCTGTGACCAGAAGAAGGATCTATGTAAGAATCTCAACCTTTAGATGGTTCAGTCCCAGGATCCTAAGAAACATAGGCCTTTTCCGTCTCCCAGGGTTCATGGAAGTGGTAAGAAGGAACCTGGCAGGACATGGTGATTCCAAGGCCACTGGAATAGTCAGCTTCAGCTGAGCCATGGCTGCCCTGCTGTTTCTGGCCTGGATAAACTTTGTCTCATCTTGGCGATCCAAAACTTGTATCGTCTATTATCAATTCTTATATTTTGGAAGATGATCAGGACAGGGCTAGTTCCAAGGCTGGTACGGCCCTTGTCACTTCTTCAGTGATTGCTCTTTTGTCCCAACAGTTTGGATATACTGTTGAAAAAACTCTGTCCCTTGTGGGTCTAACCAGTGTCTTGGGTGCTGCTGTGACGGTGTTTTGGGTCCTGGTGGCTGTGGACTGCAGCAGTCTAGTGTCCACACGGTCCTCTAGAGAGGGAAGAATTGAGAGTAGCTGAGTCTCAGGGTCAGAGGGCAGTGAAGTGAGTGGACAGTGTGATCTGAGTCAGGCTGCTTGGCATACTGGACAGAGTCCTTCGGGGCCTGGAAAATCACCTGCCATTACAGGAGGTGGCCTAGGGCCCTTGTCCAATCATATTCTTGTATTCGGGAACCAGTGTCTGCTTCAGCCCCACCACTGAGGAGAAGATCCACTTTACCTGTGGGGCAGGGAGAATAAGACAAGATCAGGATTGCACTCTGACCTGTGGGTCACCCCCCACCTGAAGTCTCCAACATGGGGGAGCAGGATACAGTGTGGGTCCATGAGCAAACAGAGTGGGGACAATATGGGTGACAACATGGGAAGTATTGGACACTAGGGACAGCATGAGGAGATCATGAAAATACAGCCAGCAGCACTGGACAGTATAGCAGGAAGCAAGGGACAGTGTGGGACAGCATGAGGCAACACAGGATAGGATGGGGACAGTATGGAGCATTATGGAGACTGCATGGGACATTGTGACTGTCATACAGAAGGGTAGACAGCACTGCACAGCAGGCAAGACTGTGGTCAATAGCATGGGACAAGGTGGGGCATAGGTCATCACAGGGACAGTATGGGGAACAGTATGAGGACAGTGTAGACACTGTGGGGACAGTGTGACTGACCTTGAAGAGTGTGACAGCAGCACTGTAGCACACGCTGAGCAGGAAGAGGCTGATGAAGATGGTGATGGTTGTCCAGAGCCCATCCAGCTCCCCGTCCTGGGCCTCAGCACAGGTTTCGGCCAGTTCCAGCCCTGGACAGAGAGGGCAGTCAGTGTTTGTCCCAACAAGGTGGACACTTGGAAAGAGTCCCTGTGTGTCAGGAGGCTGCATGGAGGCCCAGGAGAAAGCTGCAGCCTGTCTGGGCCAGCATGGACCCTCCCTGGGGCCATCTCTCCTTTCTGTTCTCTCTGGACCAGAAACCTCAGCTCCCCAAAGCGCTGCAGTTTTGTCTCTGGGCTCAGCAATACACTGTGGACCCGATGCTGGCCTGGCCTGTGCAGGAGCTCATTCTGTGTGCTGCAGCCTTCAGTTTGGAGAGTGGCTAGACTGAGTTAGGGCCGGTGACTCTTGTGGATAGTGTCTGTGTAGTTTGCCCAATCTTCTGTCTGTTCTCTGATGACAAGAATAGAGGGCCAGAGTGAAGGCAGGGCCTATTCTCTGTGATGACTGTACTTCAGAGAAAGGACTCACAGGGAAGTAAAGTAAGTTACACAGCTTTGGTGATGTGTCAACTGTGTGAGTTAATGGCACCAGCCTGAGGGTTAGGGACAGTTTCAGCCGAGGGGACTTGTGTGTGAGGAGAGTTGTGGGTGTCCTTGGCATAAAAAAGTTTTATCTGTATCAGTTGTCCCACTTGCAAAGCTGAGGATGATCATGTGGGCAGACCCAGTACCTTTTTATCTTTGAGTAATATATAGGGTGCTCATGTGAGTTTCTAGTGTGTGATTCTGTTGTATGTTTGTGTGTGGGGGGGTGTGTGTGTATGTGTGTTTGCGTCTGTGCATGCGCATGTGTGTAGTGTGTGTGTATGCCCATGCATGTGTGTGTGCCCGTGCATGCGTAGATGTGTGTGCACTTGCATAGAATAGTTTTGTAGGCAGGGTGTTGCTGAACAGGTTGTTTTTAGTGGGTCCATGTTCATCCTCCACATGGGCATCTGATAGCGGTGAGAGCTACCTGTATCATCACCAGACAGCACAGATGTAGTCTCTGGAAAACTGAGTGCAGGGACAGCAAGCCTGTGTGCAAGCCTGTGACCACAGGTATCTATTTATTGCTGTGAGATGCTTGGCCAGGAAGAGAAGTAAGGACAGAGTGAGGGAGGTGGAAGTTGTGTCTTCCTTATTTGGGGGTTTGTTAGGCACATTCTGTGGCCAGAGCAGACAAATTGCTAGCTAGAGTGATGTCTAGTGAGAGGGATCACCTAGGGATAAGCTTCCAGTGCCCAGTGAGAGGTAAATTCTTTTCAGGTTAGGCAAATTCAAAAGAGCCAGATGTGGCCGTGCAGGCCTTTGTTTGTTTCTTAGTCACATTTCAGGTCTCAAACCAAGGAAACCCCTCTTCCCATGACCTAGCTAGACTCTGTATCTCAGAAAGAACCAGGACATTGTTGCAGGATCCCAAGGCAGTGCTGGGTGCTTTATTTACACAAGAAAGGGGTAGAGGTAGGTGTCAGCGTCCCTTAGGACCAGAGAGCTCACAGGCCACAGGGATCATTTACCAGGAGATTGGGTGAGGCTCTTCTCAGTGTGGTGGTTGTGCAGGGCCTCATGTAACACAGAGCAGGTGAAGGTTTCTCCCTTCTCCCACATGTTCCTGCTCACAGTGAGCTTGCTGTAGAGGAAGTAACTCCCGTCTGCGTCCACGGTGGGCTCAGTGTTCTTGTAGTTCTCCGCTGGCTGCCCATTCCTCTGCCACTCCACATAAATGTCAGAAGGAAAGAAACCCAGGGCCAAGCAGGTCAGAGTGATTTCATTCTTGGTCAGCTGTTCCTTGGGAGGCGACATGGTGTATACCTGTGGAGCCCGTGGTCTGCCTGTGGGTACAGAGAGTGGTCAGCATGGAGGTCACTGACAGGGCAAAAGTCTGCTTATGTCAAGCTCTGCCTATGTATAACTGTAGCTTCTCCACCACACCCCCGCAACTCCCACCTTTGGTTTTAGAGATAGTTCTCTCGATGGGGGCAGGTAATGCTTCACTGTTGACCTTGCATTTGAACTCTCTGCCATTGAGCCAGTCCTGGTGCAGGATGGGTAGTTCACTGACTGTGCGGAGAGTGCTGTTGAACTGCTGCTCTGGGCGGTGAGTCTGAGCTGTGTGTACTTCCACGTCATCTACATACCAGTTGAACTGAACGTCGGGATCATCCTGGCTAATGTCTACCACAACACACGTGACCTTAGGAGTCAGAGTGATGGTGAGCACATCCTTGGGCATTGGGGGGAAGATGAAGACAGATGATAGTTCTGGGACTGTAGATGAAGAAAGGTGGAAATAGGTCAATACCTGGGTCACCCTCCGACATGGCCACCTGAGGACACTTGTTGCATCTGGGGCTGGAGTGAAATGCCTACTGGCTTACCTGGACATATGCAAGGCTTGCTACTGCCACCAGAGTCCCTGGGCACTGCAGAGAGAAGGCTGTGTGTTATTGGGGTCTGGAAGGGAGAAGGCACCAGGATGGAGGTAGGGAAAGTTTGGTTCTGATGTGGGTTCATGCCAGGCTGTTCTTGGGTATGACCATTGGCATGTTGATACCTGAGTCTGTCTCTATATGTCAGGACCCATAAGCATCTTACCCAGAATATTAATAAATGAGAGTAAAAGACATAGATAGAAATCCCCAGTAGGGAGACAAAGAACTTTTGGTTTTCTGGGCTGAGGTCCATTTCAAATTGATGGCTGCCCAGCCTGGTTAGTCTAGGTAGGCTAATGCTTGAGCCTCAGCTGTAGTGAACACCACCTCCCCTGGATGTCCTCTCACCAATGGTCTTGTCCACCTTGGTGCTGCTGGCCGGGTGGTCTACATTGCAGGTGACGGTCTGGCTGGGCCAGGTGCTGGAGGATACAGTCACTGAGCTGCTGAGAGTGTAGAGTCCAGACTGCAGGACAGCTGGGAAGGTGTGCACACCGCTGGACAGGGCTCCAGAGTTCCAAGTCACGGACACTGGCTCAGGGAAATAGCCCTTGACCAGGCATCCCAGAGTCACCATGGAGTTAGAGTTGGAAGTAGGTCCAGGGGCCAGTGGATAGACAGTTGGGGGTGTTGTTTTGGCTACAAGAAAAAGTATTTGTGAACACACTGTCAGACAGGGATGGACCCAGGCTTCTAGAAGGCCTGTCCTTTGCAGTCTTCCCAAGTCCCTGGTTCTCTATATGGAGTAGACAATATCCATCAGTTATGCCTGTGAATGCTAGGATCGCCAGGCCTGGTCAGACCTGAGGTCCATGAGCTCAGTCCCTTTTTTAGTACACTTTCTCAGGAAAGTGCCTCAACAGCTTTCCAGTATGGGTGTCTCTATTTGCCCCACCAGCTGTGCGGTGAGAGCATCTGTGCTCCACTGTTAAACCTCTTACTCCTGGGCCATATGGCTGCACACAATCTGGACAACACTGAAGGTCAAGCTGAAGTCCGCACATCCCTGCAGCCTGCAGTCCCTTCCCGCCTTTGCCTGTTCATCCATGTTGGCTCTTGCCACCTCCTAGGCCGCTTATACCTGCCTTGGCTTGTTCACTGATGGTCCCTGTTCTCAGGTTCCCTGAACTCCTCCAAGAGCCTCGGCTTTCACTTTGTTCAGCAGGCATTGTCTTTTTTAGTTGGCTTTGATCTAAGTATGTTTAGCACTTTTGATTCTTGGGTCAGGATTCACTTCCTGCCCATACACAACCCTCTAGGATTTCCTCAAGATCTATCTCCTCTCAAGTCAGCCCAGGCACCTAAACACGTGCTTTGACACAACTTTTTAGCTTCGTTCTCCTCAATTCTTTGTTCCAGCTCTTAACGATCACCACCAGCTCCTCCACTTTCCAGGTTCTGGGTACGGGCCTCTCTAGCCTGGCCTGGCAGTCCAGTGCCTGCCACCTCCTTGCAGTGTAGACTCACTAATGAGGCCTTGGTGACCTCAGCCTTGGTTTCTCCTTTCTCCCAGGGTTGTCCTCACAGTCCCCTGCGTTCTGCCTTTGCATGAAACTTGCATTGCCAAACCTAGAGAATTTCCTTTCCTTTTTCAGTAGCACAGGGCTTTTGAAGCTGGACAATACCACCTTTTCCCACGAAGCTGGTCATCACTTCCCCTCTCTTGTCCCTTCTGTTCCTGGGTCCTTCCCTTTATCCTCAGGGCCATGCTAGTCTCTGTTGCACCTGAGATCTGACATCTCCTGCTCAGCCCCTGATCCTCACAGTCCCTTCGTTCTGTAGATTGACCCTGTGTCCCCTGTATTGCTGGGATAGATTTGATCTCCTGGTTTGTGTTTCCACAATCTCCCAGGATCACAGTTAGAGCTGCTGACTAAAAACCTGCAGCCTGTGTATTTCCTTTGGCTATGTCCACCCTAGGATTTCCCCCTGTCCTTCTTGCTGCTCAGCCAAAGGCCCTTCCTGAAGCCTGGGATCCCTGAGACTGTTTTTCTCTTAGCCCTCAGCTGTTTTTGGTCCCTGCGTCGGCTCAGCGTTTTCCAGTGTCCAAGGGGCCTTTTGCTCTGCCTCTCTGTCCTGAGTAGAGTACTTCAGTTGGCCACTGCTAGACCTGACCTCCACAGGGCACCTACTCTTTTCCAAGGCAGTCCCCTGTAGTGTTCCTACTTCCTCCCATGACTTCCTGGATTATCAGTCTTGTCCTCTTCTCCTGATCCCAGCTCCAGCAGTGTCCTTGCTCTCCTAAGCCCCCTTTGTTTTGTTGCCCTGGCTTCTCCAGCCAAAAGAATCTCAGGCCTATGCCTGCCATCAGAGCAGACAGCTGGATCAGCTCCAGCCTAGACCTCCTGGCTCTCTTTCCTTCCTGCACTCCAGCATGAGTTAAGCATAACTTCTCCTTCCCCTCTGCCATCGGCTCCCTATCATGCTACTGTTTCACCTCAGCCTGGTTCCTCAAACCCCTGGCCCTGTTCTTAGAGTCATTTCTAAGGCCAGCTAATATAGCTCAGGGCAGCGAACTGGCTCTGCATCATGTCTCAGTGAGCCGTCCCTCCATATTGCCACCTGCCTGGTTCCCCTTCAACTCCTCAGCCAGAGCTTCTTCTACTCTAACCTGCCCTGCTCCCCAGTGGCTACAAAGCTCATCCCCTACCACCTCGCCTGCCTTAGTTCTGTTGTAGGTACTCACCCCGGTTTCCTCCTTCCTATCTGCATTTCTGCTGAGAATTCTCTAAAGTTTCAGAATGCTCACCTACTCTGGCTCTCCTGGAGCTGCTCACTCTTACCTGCCTCAGCTGTCATGCAGTTGCTCATTCTAAAACCCTACACGCCCACTTGCCTCAGTTTTTCCACAGATGCTCAGCTTGGTCTCCTACGCCTCCAGAAGGCACACTGCCCTTGTAGCGGCTCAGCACGAGTCCCCACATTCCCATCTACCCCAGACACTCTACAGCTGCTCGGCCTGGGTCTTTTATACCCATCAGCTCCAGCTCCATGGTACTGTTCAGCTAGGACCCCCACACTCCCACCGGTCTCAGTTTCCCTGTGACAGCTAAGCCTAGAATCCTCCATTACTACCTACCGTTGCCCTCCTGTATGTGCTCAGCCTGGATGCCCACTCATGTGCAGACTGGAACCTGCTCCGTTGTGTCTGTTTAGGCAGGTTCTCCAGCCCCGTTTATCCCAGCTACCCTGGAGCTGCTCTGCCTCGACTTCCACATACCTAACAGTTGTGGCTCTCCTGTAGCTGCCCAGCCTGACTCCTTACAGGTTCACCTGCCTCTGCTCCTCTCTGGCGGCTCAGCCTTTTACCTTTTGCACCTATGAGCTCCAGCTTCCTGGTGTTTTTTCACCTAGGATGCCCACACTCCCACGGGCCTCAGTTTCCCTGTGACTTCTAAGCCTAGAATCCTCTAGTACTACCTTACCCAGCTCCCCCTGCGTCTCTTCTGCCTGAATCCCCACAATCAGACTAGATCCTGCTCCCTTGTGTCTGCTTATCCTGGTCTCCCCCAAACCTATCCCAGCTGCCCTGTAACTGCCCTGCCTTGGTTCCTGCACTCCCGAATGCCCCGTCGATCCCAGCTCTTCTCTAGCTGCTCAGCCTGGAACCTTGTACACACCAGTTTCAGATCCCTGATATCTGCTCAGGCAGGATTCCACACTCCCACTTGGTTTAGTTCTCCTGTGACTGCTATGTCTAGAATCCAGCATTCCTTCGTACCTCAGCACCCCTGTGTCTACTCAGCCTCGATCTCTACCTACCCAGTAGATCCTGCTCCTTGTGTGTTCTTAGCCTTGTTATCCCCCCAGCGCTCCACCTATCCCAGCTGGGCTGGAGCTGCTCAGCCTGGTTCCCCACACACTTAGCTGCCTCAGCTCCCATGTAGCTCCTCAGCCTGCACCTCCACCTCCACCAACCCCAGCTATCCCAGTTGCTCACCCTGGATACCTAACCCTCCCCTTGCCTCAGTTTCCCTGCAGATGCTCAGTCTGGACTTCCACTTTCATACTGGCTCCATCTCTCCTGCAGCTGCCCAGCCTGACTCCTTACAGGTTCACCTATCCCCGATCCTCTCCTAGTTGCTCAGCCTGGTCTCCCACACCCCCATTAACTCCTGATTACCTGCAGATGCTCAGCTGGTTCCCTTATGTAGCCACCAGCTCCAGCTCTGTAGTGTTTGCTCAGCTGTGTCCCCCAGGCTCTCACCTGACTCAGTTTCCCTGAGAATGCTTCAAATCCCCCACTACTGCTTATCCCAGCTTCCCTAGGAGTACTGAGCATGCACCCCACCCCATGCCCCTTAGCTCCTGCTACTCTGTGTTTCATGACCTGGTGTCTATACTCTTACCTGCCTCAGCTTCCCTGTAGCCATTTAGTCTGGTCTCTGCCCTTCCACTTGCCTCAGCTCTCCTGTATCTGCTCCCCCAGGATGCCCTCATTCTACCGTGGCCCTGTTCCTCTGTAACCACTTAAGTCCAGCTGTGCTGGCTTCCTTGGCTCTCCTGTTCCCGGATCCCCACATTTCCACCTACCCTGGTTCCCCCTGAGCTGCCCAGTCTATTTCCCCTCACTCTTACCTGCCTCAGCTGCCATGCAGTTGCTCATTCTAAAACCCTACACTCCCACTTGCCTAAGTTTTTCCACAGATGCTCAGCTTGGTCTCCTACGCCTCCAGAAGGCACACTGCTCTTGTAGCGGCTCAGCACGAGTCCCCACATTCCCATCTACCCCAGACACTCTATAGCTGCTCAGTCTGGGTCTTTTATACCCATCAGCTCCAGCTCCATGGTACTGTTCAGCTAGGACCCCCACACTCCCACCGGTCTCAGTTTCTCTGTGACAGCTAAGTCTATAATCCTCCATTACTACCTACCGTTGCCCTCCTGTATGTGCTCAGCCTGGATGCCCACTCATGTGCAGACTGGAACCTGCTCTGTTGTGTCTGTTTAAGCAGGTTCTCCAGCCCCGTTTATCCCAGCTACCCTGGAGCTGCTCTGCCTCGACTTCCACATACCTAACAGCTGTGGCTCTCCTGTAGCTGCCCAGCCTGACTCCTTACAGGTTCACCTACCTCTGCTTCTCTCTGGTGGCTCAGCCTTTTACCTTTTGCACCTATGAGCTCCAGCTTCCTGGTGTTTTTTCACCTAGGATGACCACACTCCCACGGGCCTCAGTTTCCCTGTGACTTCTAAGCCTAGAGTCCTGTAGTACTATCTTACCCAGCTCCCCCTGCGTCTCTTCTGCCTGAATCCCCACAATCAGACTAGATCCTGCTCCCTTGTGTCTGCTTATCCTGGTCTCCCCCAAACCTACCCCAGCTGCCCTGTAACTGCCCTGCCTTGAGTCCTGCACTCCCGAATGCCCCGTCGATCCCAGCTCTTCTCTAGCCGCTCAGCCTGGAACCTTGTACACACTTACCAGTTTCAGATCCCCGATATCTGCTCAGGCAGGATTCCACACTCCCACTTGGTTTAGTTTCCCTGTGACTGCTATGTCTAGAATCCAGCATTCCTTCGTACCTCAGCACCCCTGTGTCTACTCAGCCTCGATCTCTACCTACCCAGTAGATCCTGCTC